ATATATATATATATATATATATATATATATATATATATATATATATATAGTTAAATAACAAATTTTTATTTTATAACATCATATTTTTATAGTCTACTTTATTTTATATTATTTCTGCCTATTAGTCTACTTTATTTTATATTATTTTATATTAAACTTTTATTTCTGAACCATAATGGGACTTTCATGTGACATACATCATTTTGAATGCATGTAGTATATAAAAGATAAGATTTTTGTCATTGTTTTTAATTATTTTTTCCTTCATTTAAGATAACAACAATATATTTGTTCAAGTGTTTTTACATGCTTTAAAATATCCTTAAGTAGCAGGATACGTCAAATAACGTATTAATAATAATAGACATCTCATTGATACGTCATTGAAACATCACTTGGCGTTATCATATTTGCTGGACCTACATTTCAAGTGTAATAACTTTTATCCAGACTCTGAATCAATGTCAAATTGTTTATAATCACTTTTAGATGTAATATAGCTAAATCTTTAATTTTTCTAAAATTTTTTGTTATTTCTGAGATATGTGGACAATACATCTTTAACGATAATCACTCGAGATTTTGAATGACTTTCTCCAAATTCCAGTTAATTTAATTGCAATAATAATTTAATGTCAATTTAATAAATAAACAATTAATTAGCAAAATTGCTAATAGACAACTTCTAATTATCTAATTTGCCGCTTAACAATAATAAAAAAAAAATTAATAATTCTGTGCATGCTAGCAGATTATTTAATATTTGACTCTGATTGCAGTTTTAAAAGCAAATTACAGAGAAGGAATTTCTTGCTCGGTTTAACAACAATCTGTCTGTTATTTTCCACTTTGGCAATTCTGTCAGCTGAGTTAATCGTCAGTTGGCTTAATCAGGAAATTTGGAGAAAATCAGCCTCAGGCTCCCGATTGACGATCATGACTACAAGAAGCGCCGGTAAAAATAGAGGGGATTAAAAATAAGTTAATAACGCCCGATAACGTAACGCGGCTGCTTCGATTCGCATGCCCACGCGTAACCCGAGAACGGCTGACCTATGACGATGACAACAACGACGACAACGACGACGACGGTGTGTAATGTCATAAGAACACTGTAAAACATGCCCAAGACTGGTAAGAAAAGAGCGCGCTCGGTGCTCCCGTGATTAATATTCATCAACCTTGGCGATTAGTTAATCGTCATGTGGAATATAATAAAGCGACGTGACGTAAATTGACGCCGAAAAACGATACCTGAATTGATCTTAAAGGGGCCTTTTGTGGGGAGCTACTGTCGGGACGTCGTGGTCGTGTGAAATGCGCTTAAGGAGTCGACGGACGGTCGATCGTCGCGATGGAGTGAGACGGAAGAACGAGACGAGAGGGATACAAACACAGAGGGAGAGAGAAGGGGAGAGAGGGAGAGAGAAAAAGAGAGAGAAAGAGAGATGGGCCAAGGAATGGAGAGGAGACAGGCAGATGAAGATAGGAGCGCAGCAGAGAGAGAGAGAGAGAGAGAGATCGTTGCTGGTCCGCTCAAAGCATCCAGCAACGGATAGTAACCGCTCAAAGGCCACTGGCCGACCCGACGTATGATTTATACGATCCGTTATGTCGTGCCCGTGTGTCTCACTTTTCCTTTTGTCCCGCGCCGCGCACACTTTCTAAATTGCTTCTCTCATTCAGCTTCTCTCTCGCCCGGCCGAAACCGACAATCGTGTGCTCCGTTTACGCACGCGATCGCACACGCCAGATTCAAGCAATTTCGATTATCGGAACGATTCACGGGCGGGCTGCAGCGTGCACTCCTACACACAACACACACACACACACACATATACACACATATATACAGGCACACGTATACACGTCAAGCAAATTGATATCGTTCCCGGCTTGGTACGTCATCTGACGACGCCGGTATTGATTTTGATGAGAAGATAATTGTGTCGCCCGCCTCCAAGGAAGGGGATAATACGTGTCACACCGGGGTAAACGTGCCGGAAATAAAGGGAAGTCAAGGGGAGACGCGATCGCTCTTGCGAGTCTCGACACGGGGGAGGGTATCTTTTGCGGATTCTTTCCCTTCGCGACGAAAACTGTCACAACGATCAGTATTTTGCGAGTTATTGTATTGAGAGATCACCTACGGACGACAGAGGTGTGCCTGCGAGATGCACAGGACTTCCTGTTTTCTCTTTTAAAGAAGGAAGCGAGTCTCTCATGGCGGGTCATACTAGGCGGGTTATACTAGAACGCTACGCTGTTTGCTCAGATGAGCAAACGCAAAAAAGAGATATTCACCGTGTCATCGAAGACCAGGTTGACCTGACGGTGGTCGGTTATGGGATGGGGGTGCGGTGGCCGATGCATCCTTCCTCCGCCATGCACTTCCGGGTAGTCGATCTGCGAAAGACACGTTATTTTACAGTCTATAATGGGCTGATAAATGAACTATAAATAAATAGTGCGACGTAAGCAATCGATCGATCTCGCTCTCCTCAGGAAGAGATCGCGTGTACGTCGCGCGTTGTTTATAATAAAACGTCCGAACGATCGCCGGATAATAATGTCGATGCCAATTTGTTGCGCGCGATATCGTATCGGAGCCTCTACGCGCCGACCAACTCGCCGTCCCACATAAACCGCCAACAGATAATCGCTGCATGCAGAGGGTATACGTGGAAAAAAGATTGGTGGAATCAATTTGGCAGAGCAAACGAGTCAGACGCGTTTTGGTTGGAGGGAAACACGATTTCTGTTTTTACACAGAAGGAAAGAACATTGCCTCGAAAATATCTTTACTCTTGGCATGTTAATCTTCAAATGAGATTTGCGTAGTGTTAAATGAAGACAAGTTACTTGCATCAATACATACTACATGATTCAACACGAAGAAAAATATATTCAAGTATTATTCAACAATAATTTTAATGAAGGCAAAACGCAAAATATTGAACTGAGAATATGATGTTTCTAAATGTCAGGAGAAAATATCATCATCAAAATAATTATATTGCACTTCTTACGAGACTATTATAATATTCAAATAAAATTGGATATTATATAGAAAAAAATAAAAACACTGTTAAAATTCCAGACTCTAAAATTCTTAGAACAAAATTATTATTGTTATATCATACTTATGTTAAGTTACATCATTATACATGAAATAATGAATTAATTTGAGTATATTAGTTTTAAATGGATATTAACTTTTTTCGGTATATACGCGGAGAAAATATTGTAGTAAAAATCACTTTGAGGTTATATTTCATTTTACAATGTTTATTATAAAGCTGGACTATATATCTTTGATACATTGACCCGTTCGGTTAACTGGGTCAATATTTCTAAAACATTATTGCATTTATACGTTTTTCGTACTGGTTCTTTAGTCAACTGCCTGGAGGGGGAAGTTAATGTTTTACAAAATGTTCCGGCTTTAAAATAATTAATTAGCGCACGACTAGCCGTTAATCATTGTATTCTTCTCCGAAGCGGAGTTGTTGTCTCCCGGGAAATATTCGTTGAAAAATAAATTACTATAAAAGTAAAAAATTAGACTGTGTAGTAAATAATTTTATAAAATAAATAACTTTAGATTAAATAAGTAATACAAAGTATTGATAAAATTAATAAGATCAAATAAATAATAATAATAAGTGATATAAAGTCAAGCAAGTAACTTCAACAGTAATTCTACAATTATTTACAATCTAACAATAAATTTGGCGATCTACTGAAAATAGGATATAAAAATCATTCATATAATTACAATAATTTTGTAGTAAAAAATCAAATGTACACAAACTAATTTGCAAAACTAATTTTTAAACAAATATATAGCAAATTATGTTTTAATTTCTACATGATTCACAAAACTCTTTGTTGTAATTTTTATTACAATATTCTCTCCACAACTTTTATTTAATTAAGTTATTTTTTTCAGTAAATTTAATTCTTAAGAACTAGGAAAATTCGGTTTTCCTCGATCAAAACGCATTTAGTCCGTCTATTGTCATGTTAATCCAAACAATTTTCTTTCTCTGTGTACTATTGTCAGCATTTATCTCAATCTACAGACTTTATCAACTTCTTTTATGCATTCTTAGAAAAGAATTATAGCAAACTTTCTATCACGATCGCTCATAAATTTTATTACAGATATAATCTTATAACCTTCTAATTAATTTAACATATTCGAAATGTGATTTTATTTTTAAATTGATCATCCTTCGACATGATTGTTTAACCGTGACACTCGATAATAAAGTTTAGGAACGATCACGATAGCAAATTTGCTACTATATATACTCTTGAACGGATAGAAATTTTTTTGTACACATTGTATATCTGTTTCATTGTATATCCGTGTTATTGTATATCTCTGAGCACCTGTTTGTGAACACAGTCGTGTGTGCTGGGAAAGCCCAGCGGAGACAATCCGTAGATTGTAGCCAGCGCTCCATGCATCATTCGGGATAATGACAGAGCCCGGTGTGTCTGGGCGATATCCCCCCAGGTTGACTATTACTTCTAATCCGGGCCACGGCGTATACGCGCGCTAATAATGTACACACGGGCCGAAGCTTAAACAGCTGGACGGAGTGTCGCGCTCATGATTTACACAGGGCGGATAAGTTGCGCGCAATGAGGCGCCTGTTATCACGCCCTACGAACGCTCGTTACGCTGATAATGTAATCTAACACGGCGCCACCTGCGGATGCTGCAGCTGCGTTACTTTTCCGTTTTGCGTGCGGCGCGCCCGAGACAATTACGACACCTTAAGCATCTTCTTAATGTCCAGAAACAAAAGAGAGAGAGGAAAATTAAATTCCTCCATCCCGGTCGGAGTTTTCCGAGGCTACGCGAGATAATACGAAATGAATAGTCGGGATGATTACATTCTGCTTAAAAATGCAACCTCGCAATGACCCTGGAACTTTATTTTAATTTGACTACATGATACACTGTCAAGAGTAAAAGAATAAGTACATTCTTTCGACTGGGAACAGGCGTTCCACTGCAAGAATAATTGCAAGGTTTATCGATCGATATTGTACACCGGCGGTAAATTACACAGTATCGGGTCGGCTGAAATTTCGTAAGATGTTGATATGCATGAAAAATAGCGTGCGGCGTGATGTACGGAGAGCAGATGGTATCCGTGATAAATTTAAAAGCGAGATTAAGTGCACGATGTAGAGCCAATTTTGCTAACAGCGTCCGCGATGCAACAAGTTGAATTCCATTCGAACGTATTTACGCCGGCCTGTGTGCGCGTGTATGTTACTTACTAAAGTGAAAGTGAAACAGTTCGTCGGAGGTAATTTTTAACGCGACATAATTCTCATTCACGGAATTAAATTTTTATTTGCCACAGTTGCCGTACGCATGTCTGTCAATCTGCTGACGGATTTTTCAGAAGGGAGAAAAATTCCAGGCAAAAAATAATCTCCCTAATTAATAAAATTTGCCAATTTCTCTTTTACCAGAGAGCGCGATTGCTCTTCTTGGTGATTGTTATTTTCTTTTTCAACCTCTTCAATAGTGATTTAAAATGATGACGTGATTCTTCCTAGGACGAAGAGATTTTTTTTTAATAAGCATATCTCTAGATTTATTTCCTCTTTATATATATATATATATATATATATAGATTTTTTATTATATTATATTATTATATATTATATATATTATATAATATATATATTATTATATTATATATTATATTATATTATATTATTTTATATATATTGCTTTTTTGTTTGAGGAATTTTGAAAAAATAGAATACGAAATGTACACGATTAAAATGTACGGAGTATCCAATTTATATTTTCTATAAGTTAAAGAAAGAAGACAATAGTTTAAGTAAATCAAAAGGAATTTAATATTTTATCATGCAATTTTTCCATAATATATAATTCATATTAAGAAAAAAAAAAACCTATTTATTTGTGAGATATAACATTTATTTCTGTGAATAAACTTTATACTTTACAAATGAATTTTCAAGTATTTGTTTCTCAAGTATATACTGAAAAGAAATATGTGAAAATTTATTTGTGGAATATAATGTTTATTTGTGCGTAACCAAGTTTTTATTTCTGTGAAATAAACTTTTATCCCACAAACAAAATTTTAATTATTTTTTTTCTCAGTACACATAATAGATTTGTCTTTTACATTGAGAAAAAAAATTTAGATACATTTATGGGAAGTTTATTCGCAGAAATAAACTTTATTTCACAGAAATAAATTCTCAGGGACCTTATTTGCGAAAAATAGGATAAAAATGCATACGATATTTTTATGAAAAGCTAGTTCATGTCATAGTTCATGTCACATATATTATAGCTTTTTATCGAAATATCGTATACGATATTTTTCAGGAATATATAATAATATGGTTCCAAACATTTTATCTCAGCGCATCATTTATTTCACAGAACAAAACCAACGTCTGGTTTATAAGAACTAATAAGCGTTAATAATAACGCTGTTCTAAAAATGGTTCCTCTAAAGACTTATATTTAATTTCGTTTTAATTATTAATTTCCTTCTACTAAGAAGTCGCCATATTAGGCGTTTAATTTTGTCGCAGTCGTCTTCGTAATAATGTCAGCTGCATCAATGTTTCGCCTTTCGCGTCGCGACTGTTTCTCGTTTTACGCTGACAGACTAGCAACGCATTCGTTGTTGAACGTCGACGAAAAAGGAACAGATGAGAGAGAGAGAGAGAGAGAGAGAGAGAGAGAGAGAGAGAGAGAGAGAGAGAGAGAAAGAAACAGAGAAAGACAATGAGACGAGTGCGCTTCGGGCCGGAACTCGTAGGCCGGACTTCCGGTAGATACGCTGGTTATACGTGCCATTCACGGGACCGCTCCCTCGTGACTCGATTGTCACGATGTTTAAGCAATTTCGGGATGAAAGTTCAGTTTCCATTGGCGATCGTTTGATCGATCGGACAACGGCGACGCTCCGATTCGGCGGATGCATTTCGTCGGAGTCGCACGTATGTCGTCGCGACACAAAGAGCTGCGCGACATATTGTCAGTTGTATCGTGTGACAAATAATAAAGCATTGACTCACGAGTTCTCTTCCTTTCTCAAGCGCTCAGATAACGATGAACCCGCGAGACTCTCGCGCAACTGTTAGAAAAACTCCAAACAAACCTCAAAATCACTCAGACACGCGTTTTTTAAATATCAACGTCGAATAATTATATTCTGGGAGAAGTAATAAAGCATTGCTCATGCGAATTTTTTGTTTCCCAGGCGGTCAAATAACGATAAATCTGCAAAACTTTCGCACAACCGTTAGAAAAATTCCAAACAAATTCCAAACAAATCATCCAGATGCATTTTTTAAATATCAAATAGAATAATTATATTCTACGAGAAATAACAAAGCATTATTCACGAATTTTTTTATTTTTCAGACGGTCGAATGATAATAAAGCTGCAATATTTTCGCACAACTGTTAAAAAAATTTCAAAATTGCCGACATTGGTATTTTTTAAATACCAACGTTGAATAATTATTCGATGTTGATACAATTGTATCCTGCGAGAAATAATAAAGCATTCACGAATTTTTTATTTTTTAAACAATCAAATAACAATAAAACTGCGATACTTTCATACAAACGTTAGAAAAATCTCGAAAAAATCCTAAGATATGGCAGTCCAGACATGCATTTTTTAAATATTAACGTCGAATAATTACATCGTGCGATAAAGCTTCATTTTTTGTCTTTCAAAGATAACGATAAAACTGCGATATCTTCGCGCAACCGTTAAAAAAATCCTGAACAAATTCCATGATCATCTAGACGTACATTTTTAGATATCAACGTCGAATTATATCCTGCAGAAAATAACAAAGCATATGTCGAGTTCTTTTTCGATCGAATCGAATCGAATAGATCGAATCGATCAGAAATAACGATAAAGCGAAACTTTTGCGCAATTATTAGAAAAATCTCGTTCGAAAAATATCGATTCTTTAGATATCAATGTCGAAGTATCGTAATGCAAGTCGTGGGAATTTGTTATTTCTCGAAAGAAAAGACTTCCGTGATACAGGCACGAACATTGTCCTTATTTATATCACAGAAATTTCCCCAAAAAAGCTATATTAACAACTGTAAACTTGAACATAACGCATTACCATGCGTTTGGTTCCTCATCTCCGCGCTGTTAATCGGATTAAAAAGCACATGTAATACTCGCAATATCAACGATAAGAAGTGAAACGCAATCGCGACGTGTCAAGACGTAAATATTCGAATATGCAGAATATGCATACATTTTCCTGATGTAACGATTGAATTGTAAACAATTATTGCGATGCGTTGATAGGTCACGCCAACGGCGAATCATTCGGATAAATGCTTCACAGCGCTTTACTTAATTACTCCGCGTCGAGGCCAGCGTTCAGCCCAAGAAATGCGACTATATGTTCTGTTAGTCTCGGATTATAACACTTTTTTTATAATAATCGCGCGTTTTCTTATATTCACACATTATAGCATGTTAACAACAGCAGAAAAGGGAACAGTCGATGATCACTTTTTTGCTATCGCGCTAACGGTAACACAAGAGTATTATGAAAGATTTCATTGCTTCCTGCAGCCGAATTAATATATCTTATCGCATCCTGCGGTATTCCCAAGGGGAAGCGGAATTATCGCAAATATTCTGTGCAAAAAATATGTAGAGCATAACAAATTAACAAAGATAAAAGAATTAACAAAGATAAAAGTTACGTGCCGCTTTAAACACATGATTAAATATTTTCTTTTTGTTGCGTACTAATAATAACACTACACACACGAAAGATTTTGTTCTTCCTAATTATTGCTAATTATACATCCTAATTATATATCCTTGCCGAATTATTAATTATATCTTATCGTATTCTCCGATATTCCCAATAAAGCGAAATTATCGCTCCCTCCGCAAATACATCGTACAATATACGTAGCATAATAAATTGTTGATATTTGTTATTGATATTTTATCAAGTTCTGAGTCTGAGTTATCATGACAGTTTTCACTTGTATCATTACCATCAGAATAGTTTGATGCAATTTCACCGCAACGAAAGTCTGTATTATATTCCATTTTTGTCTCTTGCTCACTTTCACTTCTAACTCTGGTTGTCATCTCACAGAGCTTAATACCGTCAACTTTATTTCCCCCAATTTTCCTTTCCTTGCTCTGTGCTTTCTTACGCGTTCACTCATTGTTCACGCGACGTTAAGCTCTCTTCTAACAATATAAGTAAATATGTTTCAAATTTATTCACGGTAGACACTACGTGCACATCATAAAACTCTGAATTAATATCATTGATACTATGTCTGCGGAAGAATCGGTCCACGTATTGTACAATAAATTGCTACAACCACTGGATAAGACTCTACCGTATTCTTGCCCAGTTCCTACGCAGTATTTTCACAACGAATGAAAATGCATTCATAGTAGATAGCTAGGCAGCTGTCTACGCAAACTGCATATATTTCTACCAAGGCAACCAAAACGGGTTTAAGCGTGTCATTGCCGCGTTAATTTAACTAATCTTGATTTCAATGCACAATAATATTACGAAAGATTCTATTCTTTTCTCTCTCTCTCTCTCTCTCTCTCTCTCTCTCTCTCTCTCTCTCTC